GGGATGATTTGGCTGGGTTAAAGTAAGGACCCCCATATATGTTTAAACTTCTGACACCCGCGAAGGAGAAGAATATTGTTGAAACTGAAAAAGTGACCGGTTTCCCAAGAAAACCTATACTTTTTATGTGACCAAATGTGATGAGATATTTAACCTGTTGGTTGCAGATAGCCAAATCTTAGTGCCACAAGGCGCGAAAGTGTCTCAACTAGAACAAAGAAAGAAACGAGGTTTTTGTAAATATCATAATTGTTTAGGCATAAAACTTCACAATGTTTTATTTTTAGGGATCTTGTTCAAAATGCTCTAAAAGATGGAAAGTTGAAGTTTGTTGAGAAGAGTAAGGCCACCATGAAGATTTATTCTAATCTACTTCCGGTTGAGGAAACTCACTATGCTGAACTAGTGGAAATCAATATGGTCAAAATCACTGAGGATTTTGACAAGGAGGCTGAAGAGGTTGGCAAGAGCAGTGAGCATAAGATGGATGTTGTTTATCCCAAAGTTGACGATGGTCTAGTCGACTTCCTTTAGCGATGTAAGGTGAGGGAATCAGAGATGATGTTGTGCTCGATATGCAGCTCAATCTTTGACAAGAAATCTGCTAAGGAAGTAGAAAAGGCTCAACAAACACAGCACAAAGCAAAACAATGAAACAACATACCTTAGTTTTATTTTGATAAGAGGGGTGTTCCCTAGAAGAAACAACAGTTCCCGACTCAACAGAGGACATACCCAACACTTATGTCTCAACTTCTAAATCTCCCTAGGAAAAGTGGGTTCGATCAACAGGAAAATAAGGACCTAATAACTAGAAACGAATAAGCTTTGGAATGGGAAAGGGTTCCTCACTAATCTATCATGAGAAAATCCAAGTTTCAGAGAAGTGTTCTTATGGGCCTAGAAATTACAAAGGTAAGAATACAATGTCAAGGACCTTGTGGAAGAGATTCCAAAGAAAGAAGAAAGCTGAGAAGGAGATGGCTAAATCAAGTAGCAATAAACCAGAAGTTAAGAAGCCCGTGGGAAGGCAGTTATTTTTGCCTATGCCAACTAAGGTGAAGGGAAAAGCGAAAGAAATGCCATGATTTAAGGATGAATAAATAACGACAAACAACTTCGAATCGGGATATGAGGATGATTTTTATGTCATGTGTAACGTAGTTTCAGTGCTTCCCATCAAATGGGACTATGTTATAACAGTTTCAGAGCCAGTGGACTATGATGAAGAGGAAATGGAGAGGCACAAACTTGTGTGCTAATTTTTAATGAACAATCGTTGTATTGAAGAACACAATGTGTTCTTTGAGAGGCCGGATCAGGGGATGGAGAATCACTTGAATCCTTTATTTATAAGGGCCAAAGTGGAGAATGTCAGAGTAAATAAATTTTTGATTGGTGGTGGGGTAGCAGTAAACTTAATGCCTCATTTTTTGTTAAAGAAGATTTGGAAGTATGACACCGATCTTAGGCCCCACAACATGGTGTTGTCAAAGTACGAGGGAAAGGCTGGGTATACATTGGGAATAATACAAGTCGATGTAACAGTTGGGTCGATTACTAGATCGACTGTATTTATAGTGATAACTTCAAAAACAAGTTATAATATACTTCTAGGTAGGGAGTGGATTCATGATATAAGGGTGGTTCCCTCATCACTCCATCAAAGGGTTGTCATTTGGAGGGATGACAAAATTGTGGAAAATATTGAAGAAGAACAAGGATATTTTATGGTGGAAATAAATCACGTAGATAAAAGAAACTTTGATAGAAACTTGGCGAATATAGTACCATGCTCACCTACACGATTTGCCTACGAGCCTTTTGAGGAGGAATTTTATTCTCTTATATTTCATCTTATCCATGGGTTTATATGGGATATAGAAATAATGGGGGATGAATGTGTTCATACCATCCATCTGACTGACTGGGGGAGAGAATTTGATGATGATGTCTTAGGTAAACACAATGCAGCGAATTTTGGCGTATGTAGCCGAAAATAGATTTAAAGTTGTCTTGGAGGCCGAAGTCCAACATATGGTTATCTAAGACAATGAAGTAGATATATTTGACATGGGGAGAAGAATGACTATTGAGCCAAAACCACCTGAAAAGCTGCATCAGTAGGCATGGAAAATGGGGACGTAGAAGGCCATATGCTCAATTACATCTACAATGGTGAGCCTTTGGGGTTTGAGAAGGACCAACAAAAAAGATGCAGCCCCAGGATCCCTTGGGGGAGATCAACTTAGGCAAAGGAACCGGTATAAGGCCAACATACATTAGTGCCAACATTGATCCTAACTTGAAAGTCAAGGTAATAAATTTACTTAAAGAATATAAATATTGTTTTGCTTGAGATTATAATGAAATGCCAAATTTAAGTAGAGGTTTGGTGGAACTAAAGTTGCCAATAAAGCCTAGGAAAATGCCAATCAGGAAAATGCCAAGACAGTTTGCAACTGAGGTAATTGTTGCACCCCCAATTTTTCCCTCCAATTTCTTTTATCTGGCTTAGGCTTAGCATATCATTCGCATATTTTCATTAGGTCATTTTCATATCATAACATTGCATTCAATAAAGCACATGGGTTCAATAAAATCAGTGATCATGCAAGTCAGGGTTTCTGCAGTGCTGAGATGTATATATCAATAAAGGCTGATTCTTCTGGTTCTTCCTCAAGCAATGAAGCATGGAATTATGGATGTGGTCCATGGTTATTGAGGATTCTTTTCATCAAGCCTAGGGTTTCATTGCAAATATATTTCTCCGTAGTTTTCAGAAGATTAGGGTTTTATTACAAAGATATCCTAAACATCTCTCTCCCCATATTTCGAGTGTCATCTTTGTCAAGGTATCTCAGAAATTAAGTGCTAGGTTTTTCAGTTTGATGCTAGGACTTTCAATTGAGAAGGTCACAAGTTATGGCTTTGGTGTTAAGTCATTTCTTCATCCAATATACATCTCAAGAGTTGTGATATGGCCATTTATCATGGATCTTTTCTCCTCAAGAGGCATGGTTAGGATTTTGTTTGATTGAGATACAAAGGGTGAGCCATAATGTGTTGGGTTTAAAGATTCGTTGTGCTAAAGGCTTCATTCCTTCTAATACTTGTTGCTTGACACGTAATTTTTGGTTTAGATTGGAACTTGAATTGAGTTAAGGGTTCATTGAAGTTACACGAGGGTTTTCTTTTGTTCATTAAGAATTGAAGTTGAATTGGAATCATTGTTTGGTTAGCTTTCATTAAGTTTTCTAAAAGTGTTCAAACAAATCAAATTGTTTGAAACTTGCAAGAAAATAGGTTATAGTTGGATTATTTGAAATTGCAAGTTGGCTTGGATTTTGAGAATTTGAAGTCGATAGTTCAACAGATTCAAGTTTATTAAGTTGGGCTAATGATTTAAGATTCAAACGTACAAATTCATGTGCACTCCTTGGAATTCAAATCACTCTGGAAAGGAAAGAAACACCATAGTTTTACATATCACCTCTCAAGTTCATGACCAAGGAATCAAGATCATTCAAAATTCTCTCGAATTTTCCCATTTCGTACAAGTATTAAGCAAAGTTCATCATTTTGGATACAAGCATGAATCTCAAAGTAAAGATTACAAAGTCATTTCTAAGTCCATTATCTTTCATGTCGAATTTAAGGTTTTAAAAGTTCATGGGTTCAAGAGATACTCAAGCTTCATTCAAAGTTCAAGAGCATGTAAAACAATTTGAAATTACTTCCATCTATTTATTCAAAGTCTCCAAATATACATGTTCGTCATGCGAAAGTCATTCAAACTATATCATTCAAGTTACAATGGTATATTGAAATATTACAAAACAAAAATCACAAGTTGTGACAACAAGTTATAAAGCTCCATAAGTCATTTTGGCTTGTTTCAAGGTCTCTTCATTCCCCTTCATATTGCTCCAAAGATCTTCATATACAAAGCTCAAGCCATGCCTTATCTTTAATCAAACTCACATGAGTATTGCCTTCATGAATTCATTAAACCTTGCTTACTTGCACTTTATATCAAAATGGTCTCAAATTGCAGCCCTGCATACAAAACAATTCACCAATTTTGTTAACTTTTCCACCAGTTCAAGTATCTGAAACCAGAATAACTAAAAACCAGAATAAACATCAAATCCATTTCAGCCCTACACTCATTAAAACAAACAACCTGACAAAAAAAAGCAATTCAAGCATCAACGCCGTATCAATTCGTCCAGTAAAATTCAACAATTCATATCAACATGTACATAACTATCACTAAACTAATCCTCATTAACTAGTTCTCAAACTAACATTTAGACTGTAACCTTTTCCCAACAGTTTTTTTAACAAACCAATTTCCAACATGCCTTATTTTACTTACATAACTCTTCCTGTTTATGAAGAGAAATATCAAAAAAAATCCAACATGCATTAATTCAATTAACTTTTTTTATCCAGTCCATATAACCAGTTTATAAATGAAAAGCTCAGAATTTTCCAGCTCATGAAATATCAGGAAAAACATGAGAATAAAATCAGCAAAACTTGTAGAGAAAGTTTTCAAAATATCAGATGAATCTTAGCCATTCAATCAGTAACGGAATTCAATAATCAACCGCTTAGGTTCAATCTCATGTAACAAACTTTTCAAGCTTATAACAGAAATATAAAACAGAGAAGACTCACTTATCACATCCATTCTTGATTCTGTAGAAGAATCGTACAAACTTTTCTTTGGAATCTTCACTTTCTCTCATTCATTCTCCATCATTTGGAAGAATCACACAAAACTTAACAAAAAACTCTGAAAACTCTCTCTGAAAAATTCCAGAAGTTTCTCTACAATCTTTGCTTCAGAATTCTAACTTCATATTATCTAACCTTCTGCATTCTTCTACGACACTATCTCATCTCCTTTCAACAAACCACAACAACACCGAAGCAAAAAGGCATCAGCAATCTTTATCCACATAATTTCTGTAATCCGTAACGCAACAACAATGTCTCACGCATCGCAACAAATCGACAATGAAAAGCGCAAAAGCAGAATCAAAGACTTAGAGAAGAAGAATAATAGAGGGAAGAATTTATCTCTGGACTTATCATCTTCGCCGCTGTGGAAGAGTCATCGGAGTTCTCTGGTCGGTAAGTCTCATTCATTACATTATGTGTTTTCAGTTTTGTGGTTGAAAGCATTAATCAAAAGCTTATAAATCATCGCTGAGACCGTGCGCAAAATGAGACAGAGGTGTTTTCCACGAAGGTGAAGTTGATCGGTGAAGGAGTATCGGATGAGGCAGAGGCTTGAGTATGGTGGTGTTGTGTTAGAGAAGAGCACAACTAAAGTGGATATGATAGAAGGTTGAATCACGAGCTGATATCAGAAGAAGAGATCGAGACATAAACCAATACTGTAAAGCAAGTCAGTAGATTGGAATGGAAGCTGAATTAGGATGAAGTGAAAGCAGGATGGGCTTGCGGTGGTGGAGATTCAAAAGAAGAAGGTGTTGAATAGAGGATAGAGGTGCCACTGTGAGTAGTTTTTGTTGGGGGAAGTTGAACAGTCATAACTTTGGGAACCCTATACAGATATGCTCGAGATTTTTATCGAGATTTATTTTCACATCGATGATGCTTTGACGTTTATTCCGAGTATTTGATTTCTGACTCTTTTATTTGATTGGTGAAGCTTTCGCGAAGATTTTCGGGTTTCTCTATTTTGATACTCTTTGCTACAGATTGATATTTGTTTGGTAGTTTCTCTTGTTTATCTCATTTCATCACTTTACTGCTTTCTAGATATCATGAGAAGTAGGAATTTTACTGCTTTCTAGATATCATGAGAAGTAGGAAATAAAGAGAGTGCGCTCGAAGTCGTTGTTTAAAGTTCTGTAGCGGACACCGCTTTCTGTATGCTATTTGTGTTTGTTTAAAATCCAACCTTTTAAGTAGGTATTTCGCACGTGTGTTTACATTTGAGAACGAGTTATATTACAAATGATAAGTCCTCAAAAGGAGACGAGCAGGGAGGATCTGTAATTGACCTCCGCACATTCTAGTTTATGTCATCCTTAGCTCACGTTGTACGTCGATGCTTAGGAGTTATGCAGATCATGTGTATCGAGTCGGTCATATGGAGAAGGGTTCACAACCAACCCCCACACTTTGTTAGGAGTTCGCAATGGCCATTGTTGATACTTCGCTACCCGCTTGTTTGCTTCGGGTGATCCGCTCCCCTTAGCTAAAGCATTGCTTCTCTTTTTTATTTCATCTGTCTCCTGCTTGTTTGCTTCGGGTGATACGCTCCCCTTAGCTAAAGCATTTCTCTTGTTTTCCCCATCCCTTTGAGTCAGTATGTGTTACTTATGATTGTGTTCTTTTTCCAAATCACTTGTTTGCTATACCATACTTCCCTTATGATTGCTCGATTAAAATAACTTTCGAGCTAGATATTAGGATAGGTATCCATGAATGCTAACATAGGGTAAAGATTTCCCTTTCAAAACTCAACCTTAGGGTCAATCATTGTATGATAACATTAAGGATAAATTTAGGTTAGTCTCTGTTAGATGTTTTTCTTTCTTTTGCATCCATGCTTTAAGACTAAAATTCTTTTTCTTGGAAAATCATAAAACACCTAACAATTTTCAAATCTTTTTTTAAGGTAAAATATATCTACCAATATAAACTTTTTGCGCCTTCGGGTTTTTCTTTGAAACTTTTTCAAAAGGACATGTTAATTAACTTCTGTTCTGACGTGTGAGTCTCCAAATGTCGAGCTACGATAGAAGGAGAAATTAATATTGTTCATTAAAAAATACAAACCAACCAAAATATGTGAGCTGAACTACGACTGCTCTGATTCCTTAAAAGGGATACATATGAATTGAGGTAGGGCCCTAATGAGCACAACTTTATTTTCCCTATATTATTTTCTCTTTTCTTTTGCATGCATTCTCTCTTTCTTTTTACTTTAAACTTTAGACATAGACTTTGACCACACCCATAAGATAGACAACAAGAGTGGATACCGTAGAGTACTACGGGTGTGTGGGGTGCTAATACCTTCCTCTCGCGTAACAGACTCCCTTACCTTATCTCTTGGTCATTCGAACTTAATTTCACCCTTCTCAGGTTTACTCGATGTTTACCTTTCCCTTCCTATGGGATAAAAATATTTGATGGTGACTTCATTGATTTCATCTTGATGATTTGTTCAGTCGATTGTTTCAATAATGTCCAAAATAAAAGAGGAGATCTAAATACTCTTGAAAATCAAGTTTATAATGATAGTGAGGTATGTTGAATGGCTCGCAAATATAGTTCATGTAATTAAAAATAATGGAACATTAAGGGTTTTCATAGATTTTAGAGATCTGAATGGTGTGACCTCAAAATACGAATACCATATGCATGACACTGAAATGTTGATTGACTCTGCAACGAGTTTCAACTATATTAGCATGCTAAATGGTTAATCTGTCTATAACTAAATATTTATTGTTGATGTGGATGTACCGAAAATGGCATTTCATTGCCCAGGAGCCTTAGGCACCTATGAGTGGGTGGTGATACCATTTGGTTTGAAGAATATCGGGGCAACTTACCAAAGAGTAATGGATTCAATTTTTTCATGACTATATCAAAAATTTCATGCAATTATATATTGATGATATATTTATTAAGTCACTGTCAGGAAATTATCATTTAAACCATCTTCGACAAACGTTCGAAAGAATTAGAAAGTACGGACTAAAAATGAATCCCTTTAAGTGTGATTTTTATGTGCAGGCTGTAGATTTTCTTGGTTTCATTGTTCATAAAAAAGGCATCAAGATAAACCAAAATAATACAAAGACCATTATGGAAACGAAACCCCCTTCGACCATGAAAGAGCTTCAATCTTTGTTGGAAAAATTTAATTTCCTAAGGAGGTTTATATCGAACCTTAGTGGCAAGACTCAAGCATTCTTGTCATTATTTTGTTTGAAGAAAGAAGGATTTCAATGGAAAAAAGAGCACCAAAGAGCCTTTGATGAAATAAAGAAGTACTTGATGCATCCTCTTGTATAGGCTCCTCCTGTTAGAAATAAGTGCATGCGATTATACATTGTTGCTTCAAACTTGACTTTAGAAAGTATGTTAGCGCAAGAGGACGATAATGGTGTCGAAAGACCCATTTATTATCTCAATTGAATTTTGAATTGTGCAAAAAGTAGGTATATTTTAATAGAAAAATTTGTGTATTTGTTTGTACTTCTCTTGTATGAAACTTAAGCATTATATAAAACTAGTTAATGTTTACGTTTCTTCTCATTTCGATATTATTAAGCGTATGTTATCTAAGCCAATTTTGAATAGTAGAATTAGAAAATGGGCATTGGACCTAACTGATTACTCCCTAACATATGTACCTTTAAAGGCAATGAAAAGGCGACAAGTTGTCACTTACTTCATCGTAGATCAAGTGATAGTCTAGGCATCCGAAAACTACTTAGAACCTGAACCTTGAAAGTTATACTTCGATGGTTTTAGCCATGAAAATGAAAATGGCATTGTGGTTTTCATTATTTATCCAAATAAGATCCCAATGAAGTTTATATACAAGATCGATGGCTCTTTCTCCAATAATGAGGCTGAGTATGAGGCCTTAATAGTCGACCTTGATGTTTTGCTCAAACTGGGGGCAAAGAGAGTTGAAATAAAAGGAGGTTATGAATTAGTTGTTAAGAAAATAACTAAAGAGTAAAGATATGTTAAAGATAATTTGATAATGTACTTTGTTATATCAAATAGACTATTACAACAGTTCTATTTTGTGAACATTCAACATGTTCCTCGACTTGAAAATCAAGAAGCAAATGATCTGGCTCACATTGCTTCAGGATACAAGGTATCAAAATAATAGTTTGAAGATTTAATTGAAGATCGAGGAAGGCTGATGGAAACAAGATTATCTCCGTTGGATTTGGAAAAACAAAATTAGGATATGCAGTTCCCGAGAACTTTGAGGTATTTGCCATTTATTGTTTGAAAGATACTGATTGGTGAAAACAAATAGTATACTATCTAGAAAATCCAATGGGGTTGTGTTACCTTGAAAAATATTAAGGTATTCAAGCACGTGTATTAAATGAGGATATTATCATAAGCTAAGGGTCATCCTCTAAAAGTAGGGGTTTTTGGGAAATTGGAGCCAAAGTGTTTGAAAATTTGGTTTTATTAATCTAGATTTAATGTTTAAAGGGAATGTCACGCCAAACTATCGAAACTGAGCCAGGTCGACCAAAAGGAAATAAAAGAATATATGTTAAGAAATGGTCGAAATTGGTTTAGTCGACCAAAGGGTGAAAGACAAGGAAGATGGTCGAAATTGGTTTTTGTCAACCAAAAGGGTTTCTGGACTTAGAGGAATTGTTGTTGATTTTTAAATCTTGCCAAAGGGAAACTGTCGAAGCGAGTCAGAAGCGGTTTACTTTCAGAAGCTAGGAGCGGGAAGACTTAAATTTCAAAGTCATCAGCAGTTTCCAGCGGTTTACAATTTGTTTAAGTGCCAAATAGGTTGCGACATCCAGTGAAGCGGTTGTCTCAAGATTTTAATATTGTCTGTAGATTTCATCTAGGAAGTTACATTGTAAATATTATAAATAAGCAGATTTAGTGTAGTTTTTTGGTGTATTCACTTGTATGCTCAAATCACTTTTCAAAACTCTGTCATTCCGAGCGTTAGGAAACAAAGAGTGAAAAAGTGCTTGATGTACGTGAATCACCACTTTTATTTCAATGAAAATCCTTTATTTATCAATGATCTCTTTTGAATACTTTATTTGCTTTCTATGTACTGTCGAAAAAAATATTTACGTTATTTTCTACTTCGTGTAAACAATTCAAGGCTCTCTGTCGGTCACGAGTCACTAGTCAGTTCGTTTATTGAATCTTATTTTCATATGAATACCTTATGCCGATCATGAGTCACCAGTCAGTCGATCGATTCATAGTGTGGAAAGTCGTTATACTTGTTCCCTTAGTCACAGAAAACCATTTCCCTTGATAAGGATTTCGATAGAATAAGTATAATAATAAAACTCTTAGCACGTGTCTTAAGATCAACTGGTCGATCTTGTGAGTTACCCTTAGTTTTAGGACTTTAGGAGGACCAACGGTTGTTTACCATTTTCCATAGTAAACAAATTGGCACACCTGGTGGGACACAGTGCTAAGAATTTGTCTTAAGTGTATGCAGCTTAGAAATGGAAAGTTAACCAAAGAGTATAATAAACCATCATCTAGGAAGCATATATTAAGAAT